GTACCCTCCAGCTCTCCCATAGTCTCTACTCCCCTGCCGCTGCAAACGCTAGCAAAACGCTGGTGAAACGCTGGAGAAACGCTAGCGTACGCCAGCGTGTCGCGCTACGCTGCCGCAAAGTATAAACGCAGCCTATCTTTGCGTTCAGAACCAAGGACTTGTGGCTGAACCTCCTTCATCTAGGTAATGTGAAAATAGCGTCCCATTACTCCTGCAACGAACGTCCCGGCCTGAATCAATACTGCTGGCAGGATAGAATTTCGCGACCCTGGGCCAGGCGCTCCATTAGGTTTCCGAGGTAGTGCCTTATAAGGGCCCTATCAGCCACAAACGTTTGACGTCCCAAACGCCCGCCACGCCCACCCGCCCACAAATGGACGACCGTTCCTGACGCTCGTATTCATTCATTTGCTAAGCAAATTATGAAGCGAAGGGATTGGTATGAAGCGGCCGTGATGCTGCATGCATACATGGGTACACATATGCAGCCGTATCTTCGGTAGCGGTGATTGGCAAGATGCTACGGGAAACTCGTCCGAAATCGATTTTCAAGTCACTGAGAACGGAGGCTTTTTCTTCGCAGGATTTTGACCGTTTCACTCCGTTCTTTCGCCATTTCCCCACTATACAGCGCCCTACTAGCATTTTAGGCTAAGTAGGAAAGGATGGTTGGTCGAAGTAGTCATTTCAAATGAGATGTATACCGGCTTGCCTCATTGGACACTGATTTTAAATCTGTCCTCCAAATCTGCTGAACGATTCTTTGAGCAGAATTATGGAGGCTTGTTGAGCAGACCACTGCTCGAGACCACCAATGCTCAGCAAGTATCTTAATGATGGGTGAGCTCATCCACACGAAAAATCTCTTGCACATCCTAAAGACACTTTTGCGGGGTAGGAGACCTGATCCACCGAAAAATTTTATTTCTGAAGGAATAGAGCCATTCTGGCACACTCCCAAAGGAACACTCCTGATTGTTGGTTTCGGCGGCATTATTCGTTGCGTTGTGTTGTGTCGCCAAACTGATTCCAAATGGCATGGAAGCCAAAGATGGATGTCGTGGTTGTGATCAGGACCGTCAATAACAGCAAGGACTGAAATTTAGCGGAAAAGCTCCATTGCTCACAGATTTCGATAGTGCCAGCGACCTTAAGGAATTTGTTGCCCATGGTTACCCCACTGTATCGAAAATAGGTCGAAATCTCAAATTTGGTTGAAAACTTGTCTCTAGGGCTAATTTGAGCCCCAGAGCACGAATATCACACTCGTTCGGCGTAAAAACGCTTGCCAAGGACGTTGCAGGTTCCTGCACACCCTGCCCCTCCAGAAGGCGAACAAGATATTTCACGAAAAATGACTGCAGTGTTGATTTCCAGGGCACCAGAGCACCTCTAATTTCAGATTTCAGCGAATTTGGGCGTTTTGGTGTACCTTATATACATGCTGGAAATGGGTGTGACCTGGTCAAAATTCCTGCATAACCAGGGAATCGTTTAGCAGATATGGAGGGCAGATTTGTAATCAGCGTCCAAGGGCCCATCGGGCAGTATACATCTCATTTCGAATGGCCACTTCGACCAACCATCCTTTCCTTGTAAGTAGGAAACCATCGTGCCAACTGCCTTTAAGGGTAGTAGCACTTGACATACTATGCTGTAACATATACAGTGTAGTCAAAATACCATGCTATAACGAAGAACATTGATAGAAGGCAATAAATTTTAATGAGCAGAGGTGTTGGTCCACAGGTGGCATGGCTTGTGTTTATTAATCGTCGATACCTTATCACTAATGGACGTAGTGATGCTATTCTGTTATCGCAACTGTGGAAATGTGTGTTTTGTGGCCACCTATTATGGTTTCAAAATGCTCGATTGCTGCCATAAAGTGAACGAATGAAATGATGTCAGGCAGTTCAAAGGAAGGCTTAAAAGATCACTGATTTCGCCAGCTAAAATCGCGGAAGGCACGCTTCACAGGAGAAATCTTCTCCTTCTACAAACCAAGAAGATCCCAGCGTTGGCCGGCGACCTGAGTGGTGGTTCATAATGGAATATCCGCTCCAAATATAAACTTTGCATTACAGTCGATGAAGAGTTAAAATACATGCTAACCATAAGACCTACTGAGAGAGGGCCTCGAGGAAAGCCAGGGCCAATTGAAAAGCCCAATAGGTCTCCGGTGATCCCTTGTTGAGCTTCCCGCCCTGGAGATGGTGACTGATATTCAGGCTATCACTGGATAATGCTAAACTTTTCTGCTGGCTCGGAGGTAAGTGGACATAGGCGATGGACGGCTGTTGCCTCCCCGTATGATCCCATCACTAGTTGGCGACCCGCGCCCAAGAGAATGATCTGTGGTCATGCTGCGCTGGGCCCCTATCAGGAGTTACTGCCTTCTGTTCACTCATGCTTCGGCCGTTCTGTCACCATCTTGCTCGCACGTGTCTTTTGGTCTTCTCTAATTTCTCGTCCAGTGCTAAAAAATTGATCGTGAAAGAAGCGCTATGGTTGTGCTTTAGGTCAGATCACAGTCACTGGTGCTCGCTTATCTGGCGAGGCTTTGTCTCTTGCGTCTCGCAAAGTCGAGAATTGTAATAAATGTTGAAAGACTCCGGTCTCAATACACGGCCCTTATTGCGGTGCCATAGGCTGGTTGATGGTTGATCCGTGCTGAATATGCTTGCAGGAGAGGGCAAGAACTTAATCTCTGGCACGGTTCGGCTCGGTGGAGGTATTTTTTGCTGCGTGTCACTTACCGGGTCCTGATCATGTAAACGATAGGGCGTGCGCACAGGCGGCACATCGCTTTGGGGGGTTCCATATAGGGGGTCGTATTGGTCGCCATTGATGGGAGGGGTTTGTATTCGGGCAGAGAAAAATTTGTTTCTGATAGTTGATTTTTTCTCGCTCACGGATGTTCTGTGAAGGAGGGAGGGGCTTAACTTGGTCAGGTTTGTGGGGATGGGGGGGGATTCAGTATTCACGTTTGCGTCGTAGGCGGCGGTCGGTTGTCTTTTTTGTGATTACAATTTTGGGAAAAGCATGGAGGTTTTCGGGGAAGATTTGGAAAAATTTGCAGGGAAGGACCTCCCCTCCCTCCGACGGCTCGACTCATGATGAGGAGAGATAGGTCGGAGAGGCCGGATTAGGGGGCGGTGTACGCATCCTACAAAAGAAGGGGGCGTGGGTTGTAACAGACTCGACCAAAATCCCCAACCAATGATGTGCCCTGGCGTGCGACGCGGCGCGGATTAGAGCACAGCCAACCTTTTCCACAAATGATGCCATCTTGAAGCCTCTTGTTAGCTATGGGAAATTGTCTCCTTGGACTGCCGATCCAATGTCTAACGCATAGCGTTTGCAAGACTGGTTAGGTGTTGGGCGTAACAAGTTTTCTCCACTGAATGAGCGGCTGGCTGACTGGGTAACCTACTTGCTCTAATGCACTCACTGGCCCCTCATACCTTTCGACACCTTCGAAAGATTAGCAGAATTTCTGAGACTGCGATTCGGGTCACTATGATTATAATGGATTCCACCAATCAAGCAAAAGCGGGAATATGTGTCTCAAGTCACGTCAAGCAACTGTAAGGAGTTCAAGAAGCTCAGCTACTCAGGTTGTTCCTATAATGAACTGATCAGTTACTGTTTATAGTTTCCTTCATTCTGTTATTACATCACACGTGATCAAGTTTATGAGCACTAGCCACAAAAACATCAGATAGCAACGGAATGTTCAACTCCAACGGCAACGTGTCTCTATAATAGTGGGACAACTGTTTGAACTACTGTACAAAAGCGCCTTTGTAGCGCAGTGGTTTCGGGCGCTCATTGCCGACGTTTCCATATGACCTGAAAACATTGTTATTGGCTCTGTATGCAAAAGCAGATTCGGTTTGGTGGGGGCATATAGCTGGTTCCAATCGAGCCAGTCGGCGCTTCCCGCGGAGACCTGTAAATTCCTCTGAAGCTATGCAAAAGCAGGGTTTTCGTATGAGCTGTCAAGACACTACGTGTCTCACCAAGTACATGTCTCACCAAGGTGAGACGTGAGACAAGAACTAGCAAAAGAAGCTAGCGAAAGTGCAAAATGCCCTTCACCCCTCAGGGCAAATCCCTGCCGCTGGAGAGACTTCTGTGAAAAATTTTCAGAGTTTTCAATGGAACCACGACGTTTCTCGGCCTCCTCTTCTGGTGCAACCTCCATCCTACGCACCATCTCAATTTTCCCATCTTCCCACTCACACTTTTTCAAAACATTCCACTTTTTCCCCAAATTTTGGCCGTCGGGTGGAGGGGTGTGAGGTCGCCACCGAAAAATTACTCATTTCAGCTACGAAAGTTGTAGTTGTATAAGAATCAGGGCACATCGTTGTTGGGAATTCTCCAACAGGGGGTCGTATTTGGGCTGGGAAAGAATTTCTTGGATAATTGATTTTTTTTTCTTACTTCAGGGCCGTTGTAGAGGGGGGGGATCGTAGCGACATTCTAAGGAAGGGGGAGGGGTCGTGCGGAAGTGAGAAAAACCCGCGAAAAATCAACAAGCGCAAAAAAATTCCCGATGACAAATTGCCACTCACCTTCATAGACCTTCCCTCGCCCCTCCCCTCTCATTTCTTTCTCTCCTATCGACGGCAGTTTTTTAGACGAAAGGGGAAAAAGTGACTGGTTGAAGAAAAAAACGGTAGGAGCTTGAGAAAATCTTGGAAGATGTAGGTGGGGGTCGCATCTTGGAAAGAATTTTCTCAATGGCAGAACTTGCTCTGGGATCGATACTTACTTAGCTTCTTTCGAATGCTGCTGGGAAAACGGGATGGGCTTTTGCAGGATTACTCGCTCCAACGAGAATCCGCTCCGCAACCGCTTGCAACTTATGCCAACGTCGTTTCCAGCTGATTTTTTTCCATTCTTTCAATAACCGTTTGAATAACGTGGTTTCCTTGTATATTATTCTCATTAACGGTCATTCGGCGACAAACACCTATTTAGCTCTTTAGATGTCAATCCGAAAGGATAAATCAACGAATAGTCTGAAAGCTGTAGAGGATTGCCTAGCTGAGTTGTCTACTGCAGATGAAAGTATTGTTCGAGAAGCACTGTCAGCTGGTCATGATCTTAGCAACTTTTCCGGTATGCTCTATATACCAGTTTTTTATTGGGAAGGCATCGAAGCTTCTTTGGGGTTTTTTTAGTTCAAGTGAATGAGGAGCTTACTGAAGCTCATCGAATAGCTGTGAAAGAATGTATCCAAAATGCCGACAAGTTGACGGATCTTCACAATCAAATACTTGCTTGTGATCAAGTCTTCGAGGTGGGTTTTTTGGTCATAGAAAGTTAACAGAGTGAAAGTGTGTGAAGTATAGTCCAGTTCGCTGCCGACGAAGAGGCGTGTCAAGAGTTGGAGTGGGGCCGAACCCGTTCTCCACCACTTGTTGGAGCTAGCATGACAAGACTGTATCATATCGTCGGCATCACTCATTTTTTACCAGTTGTTGCAGTATTCCCGCTTCAACAACTGACAGGGAGCGGGTTACGCGCCGTGGCACGCTCATACTGTTTGACACGCCCCTGCATCTGCAGTGAACTAGAGCCCCTAGAAACAATACATCAGCGGTCAGAGAGTGTTCATGCTTTGCTTCAGCGCTTTGGGTGTATGCCAAAGTAGAGGCATTGATCCAGCGTTTCCAGCTTTTCGCGGGCAGTTACTGAAAACGCCGGCGTACGCTTAAAGCGCTAGATCGATATCTATATTTTTTGCCAGTGAAAGCGATGCCGCACGCTGGCATACGCTGAGAACTCTAGCGTGCGCTCAGAACACTGATGCACAGTATGAACGCAGCCCAAGTTTCACCCAATGTCGCTCTCGGCTGTTATTCAACTACTCCTTCGAAATCTGAAGTGAATTTCTGCTGAAGTTTTGACTATAGGTCTTATCCAGTGCTCTAACATTCGTTTTGGGCGCCGCCGCCAGGTTGGCGCAACCACCTTTCCACCGAATCGGTAACTGGATCCTCCAGAAAGGGCAGGGCCGGTCGTGCAATCCTGTCAATCTGGTAGGATCGCCATGCTGTGCATGTGGAGAGACGCTCGTCGAGTTTATTCTGAAGACTTTCTTCCCCACCACTTGACGCTAAGCTTGTCAGTGAGCTATTCTATTCAACTGTAGAGGGCGGTGACGAACTTCCACCATTTGTTCCACTAACCAGCAAAGTTTGTCGACGCCCATCTTGTCAACTGAAGAGCACACGTTTTGAAAATAGCACAGTCCCGGCTTAGCCAGATGCCATACCACCCTCTCCCTTAGCAGCCATTTTGTGGAGAAGGCTGCGTTCATACCTTACATCATTTTTTGAGGCACTAGTAAAGTATCGATATCGATCCAGCCAAAGTGGAGTACGCTCAGAATGCTGTATCGATATCCCTACTTTCCTAGTCGCTTGAAACGCGCCGTACACTCAGATGACGAAAGGTATGAACGCAGATTAAGAAACCCCATTTACGTACGTGATTTGTAAACGGGTGAACTTTCTTGTGGCAAGAAGCCACAGCTTACCATTTCATTATTTTTTTCAGCGTTTAGAGAAAATGCTGCTTGGATTCCAAGGTGATCTTGGAACGATTAGTGAAGATATGAAAAGGTTGCAAGAGCAGTCTGTTTCAATTAATCAGGTAACTCTTATCATGCCATACATTACCGTAACGTGCCATCATATATTCTTTTCCAGGAACTTGAAAACAGACAAAAAGTTCGTGGCGAGTTGAGTCAGTTTGTTGATGACATAATTGTACCACAGAATATGATCAAGTAAGTGATGTCTGCTTCAACGCAGTTTGGCTTGGAGGGGGCATTTTGCTGGTTCCTAGCGATTACTGACGACTCCTTTCATGCTGACGTGTGAACTCCTGTGAAGTTTGCAACAGCATGAGCTTAGTTTACATTTGGCAAGAGTTTACAAGACTTAGCAAGGTGAAACGTGTAGTTTGACAGGAACCAACAAAAGAACCTAACGGAAGAGCAAAACGCGCCCCCCTCCCTCTAACCCGAACAGCGCACTTGTTTCTGATTAATCAATCCCTCTCGAGTTGCAGAGTTATAATGGAAACTGATGTGAATGATCGCGCTTTCCTCGAACAACTGCATGAATTGCAACATAAGATCAATTTCATCAAGGCTCAGGAGTCTAAGGACGCTCGTTCTGTGTATGATGTTCTGGGAGTGCTGGAAAGCCTGAAATTCAAGGTATGATTTACGACTTACCCTTATTTGAGTAAGTACTCTCCATATCCGGGAGATGGCAAGGGTGTGGCTGCGTTCCTCATCAGAATGTGCTATCGACTTGGTGCGATATTACCGTTTTGGGGCAGTTGTAATCATATATCTGTACAGCACAAAACAGGATGACAGTTGTCCCGAGCGGAAATATCGCTCAAAAAACACTTGCAACGTTATGCTCGAATGCAGCCACGCCCTCCGTATCCTCGGGATATGCAGTGTATCTATTTATTTTTTGATATTTTTGATATTTTAGGCGATTGAGAAAATAAGGGAATGGATTCTTTCGAAAATATACATGTTCCGTAAACCATTGTCAAATTATCAAGTTCCGCAGCATCAACTTCTCAAGTCTCGTTTCTTTTACGAGTTTTTAGCGGCGAATGAGAGCAACATAGCTCAAGAGGTATGGGGAGAGGTGTGCTGCGTACGAGATGATTGCTGATTGGTAGGTTTCCACATTTCAGGTCCAGGATGAGTACGTTGATACCGTTAGCAAAATGTTTTTCTCTTATTTCAAGGCATATATCACGCGTCTATTCAAATTAATGGTACGTTTGATAGTTTTGGGACTATTTAGTCTGTTAATATTTGTGCGTTCATTGCACGGATACAGAAGGGATTCAAGGCCTTCCTTACATTCCTTTTGTCTTTCTGTTCTTGGTGCAGTTTTGCGACGGGGGGAGGGGAAGGGGGCAGGCACTCGCACTTTTTCTGCTTCCCATTCATTGCTTAATAAGAGCTGACAAGTAGTTTCTACAAACTGTGACTGGTATCACTTCGTGGCTCTCCTGATTTCTCTCATCTCTGCTTGATGGCTCGACACGACAATTGGAAGCAGCGAAAGCACAAAGTCCCCCCCTACCCTTTGTCGAACTGCACCGAAAAACGTTCAAGGGGATATTGCTAACTATTTGCATATAAGCCCTATTAGGCTCCAGATATTTTTGTGATTTCAGATGTTAGATGCAGCTTCCAAAGAGGATTTGTTAGGTGCAGAAGATGTTGTCAAGTCTGGTGGTATCTCTGGTCTATTTGCAGGCAAGCCACATGTAAGTATAAACTTGTCACTGTTCTGCTTTTGGAATATTCGAATATTTTCAGCATCGAAACAGGGCAACTGTGTTTTCATTAGGCTCTCGGCAAGAGATACTCACCCATGACTTCCTCAACCCACTTATTGTTCCACATGCTGCTCAAGAGGCTAATCAAAAGGCAAGTATTTGTAAATCTTTCTGCAACAAAATAATTCATTCGGCGCTGTTCGGCCTAGGGGGGGGGGGACATGTGTTCCCTAGTTTCTCTTGCCAGTTCTTGTTAACTTACACGTATCACCTTGGTAAGGCCTGTAAACTCTTGTAAAGTGCGAATGGAGTTCACAGGCTCCACAAGAGGCATTGTACTGGAACAAGCAAAATGCGCCACCTCCTCCAGCCGAACTGCCGTCTATCTCATTTCGTTCGGTGAACGATCTCAGTATTTCAGTTCCAATTCGAAGCCTTGTTTCGCTCGATTCATCTCGCGTTCGTGGATCACTGCAGTCATGAGTTCTTGTTCTTAACTGACTTCTTCATGGTATCAGGCCAAACAGCCATTGATCTGCATGCGAAGGTAAACATAAATAATTTGTGAGTGTTCAGTCACGGTTACTAAAATCTATGAATGTTGAAGGTTAGCGCCATGCGCCTCATCTGCGTCGCGCCATTCGATGAAAGGATTGCAGTGAATTTTGACTGCATTAGTCTTCATCTGTGCATTTGTCTGTGCGACAAGTTCCATCGATTATTGACGGAGAGAGAAATACCTTCAATGAGCGGGTGAGGTTTTATCAAATAAATGTGGGAGGTAGACAGTACTGAAGGCCTTTTCTATTTCTCTATTGAAATTGTTAATGGTTACTGAATAGTTTGCCAATATACGCGAGTACTTTTGCTGCCCCCACCAAGCAGAACTACTCCGAAAAACCATTAAACTAATTAAAAGATCGACAGTTAGTGGATGCTATAATATGGTTTCATTTTCAGATATTGGGAAGCAATATCGAATCAGCTGTGGACTAGACTAGCACAAGTAATGCAGATGCATAACGATAGTGTGAAAGCCCTTGATGTTAAGCGTATGCAAACGCCAATCGACACGAGACCACATTATGTAAGTGATTATTTAACATTGCAATCTTTGTGTGACTGCGATGTATCTACATAAATTCTACCTGTTCTTTTCAATTTATCTTTTTTACATCTGTTGGGAAGCTGAGGTGGTGTAGCGGCAAAGGGCACACTTACCACGCGCACGGTCCTGGATCAAACCCTGGATCCGGTCTCGCTCAGGCTCGTCAAGTCTTCTTTTGGGGAAAAGAACACTGTCTGGTACACCAGCTGGCTCTACAAGTCCTTGCATAGGCCATTCAGTAAGCCACTGCGGTTTTGAATGGAAGTGGAATGCTTGCCGCATCCCAGAAAGGGATGGATCAGCGGTAAAGACTAGACTTTAGACTTTATATCCGTTAGGAGATCAAGCGCTGTAGATGTTCCGCCTTGCGGAGTCTTTAAACATTAATCGCATGGGTTTAATGTAAATACTGTCCTATGTTGTAAGTTCCAGGACTAAGCACACGATGGTGAACTAGATCCGCTGGCCTGAAGTATAACGTTGTCCATGTTAACTGGTTTTCTAGTCAGTTAGACCAAGAACTCAATCTCCCATGCCTTTTGTCTTTCAAAGGTCTTGCTAGGAAAGACTTATTGGGATTCGATCACCATGTCGTTTTTTAGTGTGAGCCTCGCACTTGTGGCTGAGTCTCGCGCTTTCAATCGCCATTTCCCCTTTATCCTACACTCTCAAGGTCTTCATTCTATATGTATCGCAATAACAAGAGCACCACCCCCCCTGAGGTTTCGACTCTTAATTTTCTTTTACATTGCGAAGTTCAGTGGAGAGAGCCAAGCCGCCATTACGATCCCGTTCGCTTGTATTGCCGGTTATATACCAACAGATGTTTTTTACTTTGCTAGAGCAATTTTGATCTGTTTTTTCACCTCGCTAGAGCAATTTTTGATTTCATGTTCAGATTGTGAGACGATACGCTGAATTGACGTGCGCATTTCTCGTTGTTACGGAATCGAGCGGACGAGAGGTTGTTATGAACTCTATTCTAACCACCCTCCTTCATTAATTGGAGTTCCTTTCCAGTTGGGAAAGAAAATGGAAGCAATTCTTGAGTCGTGCGAGGATGCTGTCGAACAACTGCTTCTCCGGATGTCGACTTGCTTACCGAACGCGAGAGATCGTCTGGTCTTCCTCATTAATAACTATGACCTGACACTCGGAATTATTGATGTGAGTCCTTTGCGTGCACGTCAATTCTCAGAAAAACGAACAACGCAAATGTCATCATACGAGCAAACAAACAAGATTTGTACGTAGATTCCGCCCCAGACCCTGTCTAGCTCGCTCCTGCTCTGCCTTGCTGCAAGAGTGAAGTGCCAATTATTTCACGAAAAGACTCTCAAATTCACTGGTGCATCATGGCAGTATTGAAATCAGCCAGGCAAGATTTAATGCTGCTGCTGGCGGTTTTTTTCTTTTGTATGCTCGCATGCCTGGCGTGCCCAAGAGTACGTTCATTACTTTGCGCGTTTTAGCGATTTGGCAACTACTATGGGAGGTATTGATCTTGCGTACTGCAGCGTTTTGAGCGTTCAAGAAACTATAGATATTATTGATCTATCGTTTTGAGCTCATGCCAGCGTTCTGAGCATTTCGCGAGTAGTTTCGAGGTTTTCGCGGGCAATCCATGAATACGCTGGCATGTGATCAAAATGGTAGACGACAACTATAGTTTTCTAGTCGCTCGAAACGCTGCCATACGTTTAGAACGCTGACGCAAAGTATAAACCCTGCCTAACGCTCGCTTCTCCGAGTTATCTCGTGAGGGAACAATGTCGTCCATTTGACTTGTGCATTTCGTTATAAAAGCCGTTATTCATCTTTTTAAGGAGCGAGTAGTTCAAGACAGTCGAATCCATTCGATTATTCATGAGTTGGAGCAGAAGGCTATAGGAGAATTCGTGGAGGTATAAAGGACAGATAAGAATGTTCTGTCTCTCAATTGGTATGAAATGAACTCACACCCTTCCAGGCAACATTGCAACCCCATTTTTCATCGTTGTTATCATTTGTCAGTGAATGTGAACCTTTAGTTCAGCAAGGACATACACATCTACTTGTTCGATATAATGGTATGTCAGTATCTTTCTACTTTTTGTGTAATGCCGTAGTTTGACTTCATTGTAGATAAGCTCACAGCAGTAGTACAGACGTTTTCTGCAAATTGGAGGCGTTCCATAGATGCTATAAATGGTGAAGTAGTGAAATCCTTCACTAACTTCAAAAACGGCACCAATATCCTTCAGGTAAACTTCGGCATAAGGATTTAGGGTGTTGGTCAGGAGATCCTCGTTGCGGCGGCGCGGCGAAAGCGACCTCGCACATGACGCCGGGTGCGGCGTTTGTATTATGTGCCGCAGCGGAGGTAAACCGTCACGGCGCCGCCACGTGAACCTCTTTACTCCCTCTCCCTGGGTTTGCTATGCTCAGGTATCAACTTTCAGGCCGTTTTCACGCAACTGGTGCAGTATGTGCAACGATTCTCCAAATTAGTATCGCACGAGATCTTCCGCGATAATCCAGCACGTAACGACATGGTCAATATTCACCATATCTTGGTGGAATTGAAAAAGTATAAACCCGTCTATTGACGCGAGCAAGAATGATCCTTTTGTGATCTCTGCAGATCCTTTTTCTGTTCTGGATCGTTGAGGTACACTACGATCGTTCCTATGATAGAAGGTGGTCCGTCCTGCTGTACGTAAGTACGTACAGTCGTTTGTCTGTCTGTCATAGTGGGCTTTACAGCAGCATGGGAAGAAACCATTTGCTACAGGTAATATAAGGGACCCAATGGAGATGTTGATAGTAGGTGATAGGATGTGATAACAATTGATAAGTGTGGTGGTAAAGGGTGTGAGGAACAGGGAATGTCCTGCTGTTGCGGAAAAATTTGGCAAAATACGATACTTTCGAGATATCCTCCTCCGCTACGACCCTGGCCTTTGCCACCCCGCCCCGTCTTACACACTCCTTGCACCTACATCTTCCTGAATTCTCATACTTCCTACCCTTTTTGAGAAGCTGTTCAGAAAATCTCCCACTTCTACCCCAAAAATCTGCGGTCTTGTGTATACCGCCTGTAAAACGGGAGAACCCGGGGGAAAAACGACTTCTTTTCCCTCCAGCTACCAGGTGGCATCCCACGCTAGAGGTTCCCAAAGTATGACATGCCCTGGTTGGAATGCAAGCGCAGTCAAATCTAGAACTCCTTTCCCATCATCCATCGCCCCTATCACGTTCCTTAGTTTTCCTAACTTCCTGAGCTTCCTAGCACTTTTGCGGACTTTCTCCGAAAATGAAATTTCTTCATTTCCTCAAAAGGTGTCCAGTGGGGGAAGAGTATGGGTATACTGCATGTAAAACGCGAAAAAAAACCAACAAGAGCAAATAAACCGAAGGCGTTTCTCATAAGGACAAGTACGACCCCTGCCTCCAAAATGTGCCCTTTTCTGTTATCCCCAGCGTACGATGTGCCCTGTCTGTGATCCCTTTGGTAGAATACATGTGGATGCCTGAGTGTTGTGCGTACCGCCTCAATCTTTTCCTTATAACACGCTTTTTCCTTACGGGTTTCTAGGGTCTCTTTGGTTTTATTGCTTTCGATTGTTTGACCTTTCATCCCGTTAGTTCATGATTTTCGATTGCACGAAAGTGATAGGAACTAGTCAACGGATTGTGATATTGGCCCTGATATGGCAGCGTTCAGACTTCGCGACGGCAGCGCTTCGGTCGCGCGTTCGACGCGATCAATGCAGTCGAAAGCATGCGCATCGATCGCGCCGAACGCGCGACCGAAGGCGCTGCCGTCGCGAAGTCTGAACGCTGCCTATCCAGTCGAATGGCTTTTGTGTTGTACTTTATTTATTATGCCGTGGCTTGAATTAATAAGGAATAAGATAAATGTGATTCATTGATATATCAGCTGCTGTAACAACTTATAGTTTTGCTCGCCACAGATGTTGGGGCGCGTCAGGGCGCTGGGTTTGGCGCGGCGTCAGTCTGTTTTGCCACGACTGTGGAAGATATTGTGTGAGTACAGTTAGTGAAAAACGGGCTGGTTCCGCGCCAGACCGAGCCCTCTAACTACCCCAGTATCCGCACCGAACAAAACCGTATATTCCGGGTTACTCTGAGCGCGCGACTGATGGGTTTATTAAGACAGCTTGGTCAGAACCATGAAAGTTGTTGGTAATTATTTTCTACAAGTCAAATGGGTTAACAATAACAAGGGTATAGTTCACTACACCTGAGGAATAGTGAAATAGACGCTGCGAACAGGATGCTTGCATAGCAGGAATCACAGATTAAGCGGGTGCTCCGGGTCAAGGTAGCCCAGTCTGTTCGAATCTGGTGGTAAAAAACATCTTTATTTTCGATAATTAACTTTCGTGCGGCTGTTGAGGGAGACATCGTTCGTGGCCACAGCTTTCTACCATAAATGATATGGTTTGATACTGAGCAAATAAGTCTACTTAGAATTACACACACCCGTGCGTTAAGACCACAACTTATGTACAATATTATAGCTAAAAACCTAGAAAATGGATGCAGTTTGACGACAGGGGGAGGGGGGGGGCATTTTGTACTATCATTGCTTCCCTAGTTCCGGTTTACAAGTCTCACTCTGGCGAAACCTGTGAACTCTTGTGAAGCTGGAGCAAGCTCATCTAGCCATCATGGTAAAACCTGTCAACTCGAGAAGAGGCTGTCTAGATAGGTCGACACGTCGATGGGAAGTAGCGAAAGTGCAAAATGCCCCCCCGTCGTCAGACTGCACCTAGAAAATGCGTTGAGAAGCAGTTTAGCTTGTTGTCACGCTGGACTTGTCAAGATCATTACTCTTGAATATCTTTGTACAAAGTGCCGCCATGTTCGTTGGAAAGTGATAGACGAGCGTCGATCGTGGCCAACCGACCGGGAGATCGCTTGGTTGAGTGTCCTGCAAAATCGGAATCGGTTTTGACTAACAGCTAAATACAGTCCTCAGCAACCGAACAGATGGGGCGTGTCAGTGTGACGTGGATTTTGGCGCTGCGCCAGTTTGTTCCCAACAGCCGTTGCCAGATGAGCTGAGCTATGATTGGTGGAAAATTAGCTAGCGCCGCCCCCGCCACACGCCCAGTCGAGATTTCATGAGGACTATAACTCTTTCCACAAAACGAGATCCATCACTCACATTGAAAATCACGGGTCGGAATCGCTTGTTAATGCTATTCAGCGTGAAGAACTCTTGACTCATGAGGTCATGCATATACAGTACGCTCCTACACGCAGGGACTTCTCGATTTCACAGCTTCAATGTGAGATGGAGTAAAGCTGACGACAATTTGATAGGCCTGAAATAGGGGTATCAAAAAGCCATGCTTCAATTGGTGAATCGCCACTAAACCATCGCCGCGTACCTTGGCGAAAGCTTCTTCAACAGTAGAAGTCAAATTGGCATCAATGTCCAAGTCCGCTATGTCGGTAATACGAAACCCGCGTTGTGAGGCATGTTGCCTGAAAACAAACAAGGGATTATTATAATGAAGCAACAAAAGGAACTTATACAGGCACCTTGATTTTACAGACAAGGGAACTTTTCTTTGAAATGACCGCGATCTCTACCCCTTCCTTTAAATTCTCAACTACACTCCATTTACTCCGACGCCGACGCGAAGCGGGGGCATTTTGCACTTTCGTTGCTTCAGCTGTTCGGGTTTACAAGTCTCACTCTGGTGAAACCTGTGAACTCTTGCGAAGCTAGAGCAAGCTCGTCAAAAGCCATCATGGTAAAACAATGTTAAAGGACTGTTGATGGGTTCGCAAACGTCTGAATAATGTGTTTAGGGCAAAGGCCTCCCCCCTGCCCCCGTCGTCGCCGTCGCCAAACAGCGCCGATGTGGCCTATACACATCCTTTCTCTGATCTGTAAAAACAGGGTGCTTGAATAAGCTCATTTGTAGAGAGCTGCGGGAGCTAGACGATGCACGAGTCAGTGTTCTTATCCTTCCAGTAGAATCTGGTGCCAACCATTTTACCGTCAGGATACAGCATCGTGATGTGGTGGTGTCAGTAAGACCTCTCCTCGAGCCCCCTGAGGGAAGGTGTCAGTACGACCCCCCACAGACAGGGTCTCAGTACGACTTCCCTACCCCAACACCTACCTACCAATTTTCCACATTTTCCAGTTTTTCACCCAAAAATTTTCCGTCGAGGGGGCCATAGGTGTATATAGCCAATGTGATACGCGAAAAAACCGCAAATAGCCAACAGGCGAGAAAAACTTTTATTCCAAAGGCGGCAGATTCCTATCAAGATTACACACGACCCCCTTCTCCCAACAACGACCAAATACGACCTCCCTTCCTAGCGGAAACGTACGACTCTCTATATGTTTCACGCACCGATGCTGTACCCTGTTCACCGTTCCCGGCGGGTAGAAGGTTTGGTTGGCCTGGGGGAGGGGGTGCCGAGCGGGATTTTGACCACGGACCGTGCGAGTGGTAAGTGTGCCACTAACTACTTCACCTCCGCCTCATCACCAAGTTATAGGAAAACATCAATTCCACAAAAGTAGTAACTCTACTCTTTCAGGGAAGTGCATAGTGCAGGTAAACGGATAAAGCGAAACCCTCTGTTCCATCCCGAATTTTCTCTCTTTCCAACTCTTCTCGTTAATGCAGAGACGCCTAAGAAGATTCGCCGCCTTTCTCCCTACGGACAGGAGTAGGATCCCCACGGGATTTACCAAATGTGTACCCTGGGAAAAGGCAACAGCCGTACGCCCTTATCTCTTTGGCTCCTAGTGCAAGTCAGGAAGCTCGGAAACGAGGACTTTAGTTCCATTGACCAAGCATTGGATATAGCCGAGCAAGGGAACCAAAAACCAAGCGATTCTGCGCCTCAGGTGATTTGGCACTGGCAAGAACTGGAGTTTAAAAATGATTCAGAACGAGAGTACTGCCACGCAGACTTTCTTCCGATACGCGGTATAGCTCCACATATCTAGCACCTGAGAGCACGACGACACGGGCGATGGGAGCTGGCATGGGCTTTCTTTAGGCCTAAAACCCAGGTTTCCTGTGCTTTGTATGCCGATTTTCAAGTCTCGAATGTGACCGGTGACCGCGTACCGGATCATTTAAAAGGTTCTAGCCTCAGTTTATCGCGGTGAAGTCGTTCCTGGCCACTGCGATTTCC